AGCTCTTTTAAATCCATCTTTAAACGCATCAATTTTCCTTGTTATCATCACCCAGATCATATTATAACGTACTTGTTCTCAAAATCGATTTATTTTAAATAATATCCCCCTTCGAAATCGTCTATATAAACTATCCATTCTGTACACGGTTGGAGCTTTAAATTGGCACTATTTGTCTACAATTGTTGTCGCTAGAGTTGGTGGTGCAAGGCACTTGGCGACGCCATTGGTGCACCAATATGGTGCACCACTTGGCGCGCCAATATGGATATGGTACAGGAGTGGCGAGCCAATCATATTTGGGTTATTTTTTTACCATTAATTGGCTTAGAATTTTTGAATTGAAATTATATAAATATTACATTTCGATATAGAATAATAATCATTATGACTATATCTACATTTTACAATCCATGCTTTAAAATCTTTATATATTTGACAAAGTTTGGTAATTTTAAAATGATAATCTTTAAACCTTTATTAATCAAAAAAAAAATTAAAACCCATTAAATAATTCTTGACTTGTGATCTTATTATTTCTTCATTTTTATAAAGATAACCCTTTTTTTGTTAAGGAATCTAGATATCATAAGTATTCTTACTTCTATTTCTAATAGTAAATATCTCAATTTAATGCTGATTATAATATTTCTTCCCTATTTTGGGATTATAACAATGTATTAACTGTGAACTCAGTTCACGATTGCACATACAGGTCACGAGTATCTCAAATAATTGGTTTATTAATAAATTTGATGATGAAAGCAATTGATCATGGAGTTAATCACTTAAAATTACTATATAAGTAACTGGTAGCTTGATTTAAACTCTTATTTTATTTTTTCACAAAAGGGTAACGACTTTAGTAATAATTATGGAGACTAGAAAATATAACATGTTATGATGATAAAGGTTACAATATAAAAAAGAAACTTCTACTAGATATTTATATGCGTATGTCATACATATCTATGTACATAAGTTTTTTCACATGTATATAGTCTAGTTAGATTATTTACAAGCATAATTATTGAAGTAACAATTTAAACTAATTCCAAATCTACACAATAATTTTATTAATCCATATATATCTTATATTATTATATTTAACGTATATATTATATATTAAATTTATATTAAAATCGAAAAAATTTCATTTAAAAAAATAATTTAGAAAAAAATAAACTCTAACAAACTTATTATGGTGCACCTAACGGTGCACCATGCACCAAATCATCTAAAAAAATATTTTTGGTGCACCATAAAAATTATATACGCACCACCCACTTTAGTTGTCGCTCTCCCATTCGTTACACTAGTAATCCAATTTGAATAAACTTTTTTTATTTTGTAAATCTCAATAGAATCTACAAATTAAAAAAAAAATTCATTCAAATTGAATAACTAGATGACTGGCAAATTTAATTTTTATTCACAAAATCAACATAACCTCGAAGGGTCATTTTGATAACAAAGATCCCATATGTCATCAGAAATAATGTTAAAAAAATCAGCTATCAGAAATCGGAAATCTTTTTTTTTTTTTTATCACATAATTTTGCAAACCACAATAATTGGCTAAAAAAAATCTTCACAAGTAGTTAACCATTCAACTATTGGTTGCTTCAAAAAAGGTTTAATATAAATCGATTAATTGCCAACTTTCTATTAATAGATTTCGTACCACTAGTCTCAGATAACAGTTTATAATGAATATAATGCATGTTAATTTTTTATATTTATTACTGTATTAGAGGACAAAGTATTCTCGGTTAGTTATAATTGTTTATACTGTATTACATTATAAACGAATCAGAAATTTTTAAATTTTTAATATTATGAATAATGAGAATGTTTTAAATTGAATCTTATTTGTCGGCAGATCAAAAATGCTATAGGTTTATATTATTTATCGTCATATTGTACGATAATCTTAAAATATTTGGATTCGAATCTTAACCTCGGGTTAACTAACCAGACAAAATAGTATTTTAACAGCCGATATTGTAAAAATTGCTTTCAAATAAATTTAATTTATACGAGTTATGTATACTTCAACGTTTTGGATATTATTAATCACATGGAAAGTCAATAAATAAATAAAATAGTAAATCGTGAATCGTATAATGTAATAAACATAAAATGTTACATGCCACAACTTTGGAAAGATCGAGTTTTAAAAACCTTTCGCAACTAATTTAAATAAAAACTGATTATAAATGCGATTTGAACCTGTTAAGCATAAATCACTGGTTATGCAGGATAACATCCTCTTAGTTACGACTTTATAAAAAAAGCAACTATCATAGAAGTGTGTACCTTATTTTTTGTGGATAATAAATCTCATGGATTTTATAAGATATAAATAAGCCTATATTTATTTATATCCAATTAATAATGCTAGGAGAATACTATAGTCTGAATTAAGAGAATACTTGAATGGATATGAATCGAAACAAAAGGTATTTACTGTATACATTAAGATCATTAAGCGATTCCTCCCTACTCTATACGGTGATTTCTCTCTTTTACTGAGGTTTCGCTATTATTTGCAACTCTCACCTTGCTATCTTCGATTCTATCTATCTGTGCAATGCCCTTTTATATATATAGTTATCGCTACTATTTGAACTGTTTTTGCCACGACCTACACGAGTTTCGTCACAAACAATCATAAATTTTAGGTTTAGCAATTCTCTAACTAGTGTTTAACAAATTTAAATCAAAATTAACCCTGTAATGTGGATAACAAACAGAGAAATATATAAAATAGTGAAGGGTACATGAAAGGAAATTTTTACAGTATGATGTTTGTAAAACTTTTAACCGAATTCTTTGTAAAAGAAGACTCTTTAACAGGTCTATGGCCTTTCTCCTGATGATCCAGATATTATATTTATTTATTTAAATCATCTATATTAATTTATCTTCATTGACTTCATTAAAGTCAATAATCCGGTTTATTAGCTGTATAAATCTTTCTTTGAACTCGGACATGATCTGTTCATCGTTTTGCCATTCTGTAAATGCTTTTATAACTTCATCTGCGGATGGATTTTCGGATATTGACCCAACATTGTTTCATTAAATTATCATAATACATTTTAGAATTTTCAATACTTGGTGGTCTTAATTCATCAATTAGTATTTACTTTTGCAATGTTGAATCACTAACATCACTATAAGATATACTAACAGGTATTCCATACACAATTTCCCACATGATTTATTCCAAATTAATAAATTTCTAATTTTGTTATGCATTGATATCTGTCTAATATTCTGGTGTTATATATATGGTAAAATCTCACAAACTCCTCCTGATCCCACTTTGATATTGAAGTCCTAAATTGCATCATACTGATATGCACTGTTCAAATCATATTGTAAAACATTGCCACTATGCAAATCTCGATGAATAAGTCCCTGAGAATGAATAATTTGAAAGATCAGAGGTAACACAATGTAATAAATTTAATTTATTTTTCCATTTCATTTGTGCTATAGAGAAAAGATTGCAACTCAAAGAACCCATGGGCGATATTCCATAACAATGATATAATTTTTAGAATTATTGTCCTTTGGTATTTCAAACATCTTAAAAAACGTTGGATTTTTATTGCAATATCACAATATGCTTTTAAGTTTAGTATTAAAAAATAACCGGTTAAAATATATCAAAAAAAGTTTTAAATACATTAGCATACAAATAAAATTACCTCTTCTACAAATTCTTCATGATACACATTAGTGTTATGAAGTAATTTAAGTGCAACAGTTCGTATAACCTTTTAACTTGGATCTAGCTACTCAGCACAATATACTGTTGCGAATCCACTTTGGTCAATTTTTTCAATAGCTTTAAATTCATTTAAGGAATCCAAGATAATGAACATTTACTTTCTGTTAATATTGCTTTTAAATTATCATCAATATCTGAACTAACGTATATTCGCCTATTATTGCTGATAGACGCTCTGTCATTAGATTCAAATAATTTGGTTGCTTACTTATAGAGCCATTCATTGTTCCAATTCCAATTCTATAAAATTGGCCCATATAATAAATTCCGTCAGTATAGCCATCTCAGCAGATTTTTGATAATAAACAAATGCCTTATTATCATCTCTTTCGACTCCAAATCCATTAAAATAACAGTCACCAAGATTAAATATTTCATAAACGTTCCCCATCTCTGCTGATTCTTGACAATAATGTATGCCTTATGCTCACCCTTTTCAAACTCCAATTCCTTTAAGATAAAAAGCTCAAAGCGTGTCATTCCATCAGTATCTCCCATATCAGCGAACTTTTGATAACGAATGAACGTTTTATGATCGTCATCATCTTGATCACGATCATTGTTTATTTTTCACGTGCGCAAAAGTACGCGCACGTGTAAAGTATTTAATTGGATCTGCACATGTGTGCACACTTTGCGCACGTGAAAAATAAACACTGATCACGATATTCAATATTATTATACAGATAAGCATCGCCCATTTAACGACGATTGCTTTTCGCTAATATTATGAATCTCTGTACTGCTATATAAACAATCTATTGTACATTTCAGCATTTGTGCAAATTTTATTACTGTAATGGATATTGCTGAATTTTTTATAGACATTTTAAAAAAATCCGCCCAGAAAGTAAATATAGTCAAAAATGTTTTTTTCAAAAGTTGTAGAATCCATGTTAACCCATTTATAGCAAATATAAAACTTTTTAAAAATTTTATTATGTATAAAAATTTAACTAAGTTTAACCCCGACTTAAAGTTATAAATTTTAACCACCCATAATTTATTAATAATTTTTACTCAAATTTAAAATTAAAATTAGATAAAATGGAGTTAATATTAGGGTTAGGGGAAAGTTAAAGCTAGAATAGGTTTTTATAGTGCTGAATATTTTCTAGTTGAGTTATAATAATATGGTGGTTATGTTAACCAGGGGGTAAGTTAGCAATATCCATTTATAAATACTGTATGTGCAATTTTAAGCGTCCTTAAGAACGCCCATATCTTTCTTTCTTGCAAATACTTTTTTGTGTTTACGAAATATTTTGCCACATCGTTCTTTCATTTCATTTTCAATTTCTCCTAACAAGTGGTCATACTCTTCAAGTGAAATTCCCATAATAGGAGCAATAAATTCTTTCGAAAGCTTTATATAGTATGAAAAAATTTCATAAGAAAACTCTCCAAAATGATCGTTTCTTACTGAGAAGTCTATTGTTCGAGATGATATAAATTCAGCTTTTCCAATCATTTGAAGGTGATCTTCTAAGTTTAATATTAGATCAAGGTTAAATCCATATTTCTCATGCCACGAAGCATCTAAAAAAGATTATGAATGAATTGAGAAAATACACGTAATTCTAAATATAATTTTTAAAAATCAACAAACATACATGCGTTAACTAATCGTGTAAGGGCTGGCCCACGAACAGATTCATTAACATGAACTGCATGCCCAACCTAATATTAATAATTTTCAGATTTTGGAATACTAAATCGCAAAATTAAAAGAGTAAAAAGAAAAGGCACCCTTCTTACTTCTAACCAACCACCTGGTTTTAATACCCTAAAGACTTTAAATAAAAATCCTTGAAAATTATCCTTTGTAAAAAAATTTGATCTATTTCTAGAAAAAATATAATCAAATTAATTATCAGGAAATGGTAGTTTTTGATGAATATCACAATTAATAAATGTAATATTTTCAATAGAATTGTGCGTGGTAAAATCAACTGCGTAGAACTTCGAATTTGGATACTCAGCGGCAACCTAATTTAATGTAAAATTATTAGTTACTATAGAAGTTACAAAGTTTACAAAGTGGAAATAAGTTAAATTACTTCAATAGTCCAAATGCCTGTCCCACAACTTTTTGAGAATTGATACAAATAAGATAATTTTGAGTTATTATAAGTTTGCAGAAAATAATAATATTCAAAATAAAAAAAATTCTTTTACCCAAATTCTAATACTTTAGCACCAGTTCGCAGTTTTTCATGAACTGGAGCACCTATATTGCCGTTAAACGCATGACCATAAACCTGATGCTCGTAAAATGCAAGGTTTTCAAATTCACTTAGATCCTTGATTGGTGTATAAAATATTTTTTTATTTTTTTTAATATGATTCATTATGAAAAATTTTAGCTCTTTATATTTCATAAAGATGAAAATATATGAGTGCCGCCAAGGGAAAAGGGAACATTCGTTTTTATTGATTATTTATCTGATGATCGACAACACATCGGGCTTTCAATTATGATAAACTAACCTCTGAAATTGTCGTCTTAGTGAAAGCCCGATATGTTGATCAGATAAATAATCAATAAAAATGAATGTTCCCTTTTCCCTTGGCGTCACTCATATAACCATTGCATTTTATTAATTTTTAAAATTCGATACGATTAATTATGGTTCAAAAAAGGCATGTCAGAATGTGACAGGTTACTGACAAAATTCTGCTCATTAGCATATAAGGACAATTGTCTAACCCGTAGAGTTTGGATCCGGATATCTGGATACCCGTTTTTCTGTATCCGTTTCATCAAAGCTGTATCCGGATAAACCGCCAGGTTTAATCTGCAGATATCCGGATAAATCCTACGGATATCCGGATAACCCTTACGGATCCTACGGATATCCGGATAAACCGGATAACTTACGGATATCACAATCAGTGTTGTCAATGGACATGGACATGTCCATGTACAACACTGATCACAATGACATACTGTATTTAAAATATATGCGCATTGAAAATAAGTTCAAAATTTTCATGATATAATAAATGTTATTAATATTTATGCTATTTAAAATTATAATATATATGGGCTGCCGTTAATAGAAATAAGGCAGATGACATTTAAAAAAATAAATATATCATTGCCTTACTTTCACAGCTTATATCCTACCGTAGAGCGCTGCATACAGTACACAGCGTGACAAATAATGTAGATCAATTTTTAAAATATTATTTATGTATGCCATGTGATGTAAACAATTGTGTAACGCGTGTGATCTTTAATTTTTCACTATATGGGGGTGAGTCAATAGAAATCAAGCAAATTTTTTATAATAAAAATTTTTTATAACTTTAAACAAGAATAACT